ATAAATAATAAGGAAATACATGGATACAGTCTCTAAAAGGAAGAGAAAGAAAGAAGGGAGGAGGAAAGAGAGGGAGGGAAGAAAGGAGACAAGAATTTTGATGCTTCCCAAGATCATTTCTGAAAGCCCTCTAATGTATTCCTGTTCCTCTCCACAAGACTGTGTCTACATAATCTGTGATAACTGAGGTTCTGTCTTACTGAATGCCATCAAATTGCCTATAGAATTCAGTCCAAAGTCCAATAACCATTTCCATCACAGTTTGGCTGACCATTGAGCATACTAAATTGACCCATAAGATGATTTATATGATTTATTTTAAAAAACAGCCTAATGGTCCATTACTTAACAACAAGTAGCATTGACTAATGAGTCATTACTTTAGTCACCATAATAAGCATGGGTAATGAATGAATGACTTGCCACATTGCTCATTTCTCACAGGTGAGCCAGGATCTCAAGCACTCCCTGGTCAACCCCAGCCCATTTCCTAATCAACCATCCTAAAACTGAAGACTTGAAAGTCGTCTTGGCCAAACTTGCACCTTCAGGCCGGTAAGCCTTATGACCTGTCACCTTGCTGCAAACTCTTGTGAATTAAAATAAAATTCATCTATTTGACTTTTACATACTAAGCAACCTCCTTTTGGCCTTTGCCATATGTCCAAAGGGTATTTTTGCCTTACCAGGTTCTGCTGTAATGCACTTCCTGGAAATTCTCACAATGAACACACATCTTCTTTTAGCACACAAATCACTACATAGATACTAAAACGACACCACTTTGTTTTCTAAATTATCAACACTGCGATTAAAGGATGTTTATGGTACTCATTTTTGTCTATGAAGAGAGAACATTATTTTTTTTTAAATGCTAGCAAGTATGAACTTCATCCTGTGGAACTGAAAAGGCAGCTATTCCATCTTCCCTAGAAATACCCTTTAACAATAAACTAAAATCCTGCAGCCTTTCAAAAACTGCGTTGGGCATCTCATCTTCCAGAGCTGACATATGCACAACTTTCTCTAAGATTAAAAAATGCTTTGCCTGTTAATGAAGGGAGAACATACTGTACGGTACGGTGAATCTTAGACTCAGAAAGGTTCCCTTTGAAATCCATATAAAGCACAATCATTTCCTTTCTGAAGCAGTGAAATAATGTTATTGCACAGAATGAAAAAAAAAGTACTCATCACTATAGACATAATTAAAGTAGCGTGGATTTCCAAATACTCTTAACTCACTTCATTAAAGAATAAGGATTTTTGATAAAAGTTGGATTTGGACTGAGCTCAAAATGTAATTTATCTTAAGCTCTGCATTGATCATCCTCTGATTTTAACTCTTTTTTAACAAATATTTGTTTTATTTATTGAAAGGCAGGTTGAGAGAGAAAGAGAGATGGAGAGAAAGAGTTGTATGTTCCATCTGCTGGTTTTACTCCCCAAAAGGCTGCAGTGGCCGGGACTGGGCAAGGTTGAAGCCAGCAGCCAGAAACTCCATCCTGTGCTCCCGCGTGGGTGGCAGATGTCCAAGCACTTGGTCATCATTGCCTGTCCTCCCAGGCACATTAGCAGGAAGCTAGATTGGAAGCAGCACATCCAGGACTTGAACTGGTACTCAGATATGGGATGCTGGTATCACAGGCAGCAGATAAACTCACTGCTCCACAATGCTGGCTTCTACTTTCAATTCTGAAAAAATACATTTTAGGGTCTGGTGCAGTAATTTAGCAGGTAAAGCTGCTGCCTATAGTGCTGGCATCCCATATGGGCACCCATTTGAGTTCTGGCTGCTCCACTAGCGATTCATCTCTCTGTTGTGGCCTAGAAAAGCAGTAGAAGATGGCCCAAGTCCTTGGGTCCCTGCACCCACGTGGGGAACCTGGAAGAAGCTCCTTGCTTCTGGCTTTGGATCAGCACAGCTCCAGCCATTGCAGCCATTTAGGGAGTGCACCAGTGGATTGAAGACCTCTCTCTCTCTCTCTCTCTGCCTCTCTATAACTCTGCCTTTCAAATAAATAAATAAATCTTTTTTAAAAAAGAAATATAATTTATAAAATTTTATAACCATATGTATAGCACATGATATTCAAGAAAAGACTTATATTGACTCTCCTATGCTTGTGAAAGTCATCTTAATTCCCACAAGGACAGTTATGAATAGTTTCTTTGATATATTTATTTATAAGACATTGCTCAGACAAGCATATGAGAAAGCTTCCCAAACAACATCTTGCTTTATTTCTCAGTATTCACAGGTGCAGAGGAAAATCAAATCAGACAATATTTTGCACATGGGGGAAATGAGGCGATCAGAAGTGATAGAATCCTGGAAGATACCTTCTGGCTCCTCAACATATTGCGGCAGGATTTACCCTTGATATTTAGGGTCTGAAGATGCAAAATAGGATTCATGTATCACCATAAGCAAGGAACAAGACTAGCAATAATGGCTCAGCATCGCATGTGGGTGCTGAACGCCTGGTCTCATGTGGCATCTCTGCCCCCAAGTCTTGAGAGTCCTCCACCATGCAGTCAGTCCTTGGAATTAAACATCTGCTCTCCCCAGAGACCTCCTTGACAACACATCTCCTCCCACTGGAAGAAATGACCCAGTGGCCTCCTCCTCTTGCTTGTCCCTTCATCATCATAATTAATAACATACCTATTAGTATCTTCCATCTATACAACATACTAGAATTGACCAACAAGTGGACCTATAGTATCTCATCTCTACACAGACTTTGAACCGTTATATTCCTGTCTTAGAAATGAATGACTGAAAGACTCAAAGAAGCCAAGTGCCCTGCACTGCATCTATCAGTCATCCCTTGCCATGTGACATGGCACTTTGCAGCACTCAGCTCAGCAAATGTGCAGAGTCTCTACCTCGCACCAGACACCTGGGTCATGGAATCAGCAATAAACACAGGGGTGCAGCCTCCACCCAAAAAGCAAGCATGGGTTCCTTCACCAACAAAATAAGGGTACTGATATCAACCTTACCCGGCCCATCAAGTAGAACAAAGCAATGTAATTAATGGAGAAGTGATCTGAAAACTGCAAAGAGCTACCCAAAGCAGAAGTGTTGTGAGTAGCACCTGACTGTGCATGAGCACCTGTGGGATTGCCTTGTATTTAAATGCAGTGATGGGTAGGGGTGCTGGAGGTCTGAGAAGGGAGCGGGTGCTATCAGGAGGCAAAGGAGGGAAGGACGGGGAGCCCAACTTCACTTCACTTCGTCCATCACAATTAAGTCTAAGGCCCCCACTGCATCAAGAATCTCTAGGGCACATGGCTTTAATGCATCCCAAAGCCTTAGTCAGGGGCAGGGCTTGCCAAAATACCATAAAGTAAAAATAGAGTTTAAAAGAAGACCTAAAGGATCTAGCAGGTTCAGGGTTGAAGGAAATTGCCAAATTTGAAGCATTCAGAATTCAAACTTTTTATCACTATGGTTCATCAGTTCTAGGATTTTTTTAAAAACATATTTTCTGTCTCTAAATGAAGACGATGAATCAATGCAACCGTGAGTCATAACTGTCCCTGTTCTCTCTTTCTTACAAATATGTCAAACAGCAGCACATCTTACAAGTTATGGTATCTTTGACTCAATTAATTATATGGGAAATTTTGAATTCTCTGTTTCTAGGCTACTTCAAAGGGCTGCTTTCCACTTGGGCAGGCTGACCATGCTGCGTCTCATCTGCATCAGACTTTGCAACCAGGCACCTCTGCTCCACACCACGGCTAGTTCTCCCTGCACGTTCAAACCTGGTCCGGCTCCAGAAATCTGGACTGACCGTAGCAGGCAGCTCTCCTTGCCAGGGTGGAGCGACTGGGATCAGGTCTCATCCACAGTCTATTCTTGAATATTCTGGTTGGTTTCCTTTAACACTGGCTTGACTTCTTTTTTAAAGCTCTATAAACAATAAGGCTTCCGGCTGTAGCCCTACCATTGGTGGCTATCGAGTCTGACTGCTCTGCTTTGAGACCCTTCTAAAGCTGAGCTTTAAAAAACACATTCAGTGCTGCGTACGCCTTGGCTCAAGTGCCCACTGCCACTGATAAATTTCTCTGTCTCACCTTCTCCATTAGAACTTAGTTTGGCCAGTTTTCTGAAAACAACAAAAGTACAAGCAACAAGAAAAGCCTCAGATGACTTGCAGTGGCAAATCCCATAGTAAAAAATTCGTGTCTGAATCTTTCAACATGAGCCTATCACAATGCATGACAACACTACGATGATGCACCAGCCACTCGTGCATTTAGGACCCAAACCAGAGGCCTGCCATGAAGCATACAACCTGTTTTCGCTGGTCTCAAAGAGCGGTATAAAATGTGATAGTCTCAAGGAACAAATGGAAGACCAGGAAGAACAACCTGAGTGGTTCCGAATCATTCCCAACAACTCAAATCAAAACAAAACAAGAAAGCAACGTTTATCGTGCATGTGTAAAAATTCCATACAAAGAACAACCAGGAATTGATTTGGTTTTCCACATCAAAGTCATTTCCGCACTGTGCTGTAACTATGACGTCATCTCATGCCAGATCATAGCACCACTGCACACACATACCCAAACACCACACACACACACACACACACACACACACATTCACTCCTTCCTGGGGAACTTCTCAGACTGTGGATGAAAAACAGTTTCCAATCAGAAACAATTTAAGTGCATAAAACCAATGACTTCATTCCTTCAAGTCTCACTTCTTATTCTTGTTTTCAAAGTTTGACCTCCCACTAACTTTCACAGGCCAAATTCCAATGGGTTCCTTTTGGGATCTTACCTGACATCAAACTGTGAGTTTATCATCAAAATTCAAAACAAGCTCCAAAGGAAAAAAAAAAAAAAAAGCTGTTTGTGATTTGATCTTGGCTTCATGATGTCATGTAGAAAAACTCCATAGCATATGGTGTGAGGAAAGGGCCCCCAAAGACCAATTAGACGAGAGACAAATAAAGTAACCAAGAAATTCCATGATAAGATCCTTAAAAATTATCTTTAATTAATGCCAAATATGAACAGATCATAAAGTGACAGAAGCGAGTAAGATTGCATAGATGAAAACTATGCGCATCGGTTAGGTTCTCAATTCATAACATTCAGCGTCCTCTACCTGCTGTTTTAGACAGGGCAGGGGAAATGCACAGGAGGTGAAAATGAGACACATCTGTAACTCAAGGTGTAAGCAACTGGCAAACTCGAGAAATGAAATAGAGCTTTGCAGCTTAAATGGTTTGTTGTCCTGATGGTGCACTTTAAATTAATACTACTCAATTTTTATAACAACCTCAGCGATACTTCAATACTAGAGGTATGTCACATAGAGCCCATGTGGTTGAACACCTATTTCCTAAACTGGTCTCAAAACAGTGCCCTGAAGAGGAACTAGGTGCTTCTGCAGGTTCGGGAGCAGAGACAACTTGTGACCTGGAATATTCTGCAAGGGAGATTTCTCATTCTCTTTTCCTTCCTGACACCATTTCCTCTTCTCTCTAACTTCAGAACAAGACTTTTCCACACTCTTGGAAGGCTTGACTTACCAAAGTACTCTCTTTGTAAGTTCCTACATAAAAATCACCAGGACTAGGGTTAATCTCCTTAAAGCTAATAGTCCTGAGGTCAGCAGGGCCTCCCTGTTAATATGCACCCTGGACTTCCAAGAAAGTGCATGGTCATTTCAACTGCGCAAAGAGACTGGCATTTGAACCCCTAGGCTTCTAACCCTTATGCCTACACCCTGAATAAGTTTGCACAGTAACCCTAGGCAATGGAAAGTTTTGGTTGATAATTCAGCTCCTGTCTGCTCCTTTACAAAAAATGTTAGGTAATGTACATTCTTTTAAGATGTACCTGAGTCATGCTACATGTGTTCGAATATACCCTGAAATCCCATAGTATAAATACAAGTACCAATACACCGCAGGACGGATGAGAAGACACCTCCTGAGATGGCAATTCCACTTAGGCTGTGTCTGGTCGTAACGTCATAGTCTGTTTTCCTCCTTAAAATGAACATGAACGTCAGAAGGCTTCATTCTTGCTTGGAAAAGCTGGAAGATAAAATGGCTGTTTGGCAGTTGACCTTTCTAACAATGTCACACATTGGGTGGCTACCACCCACCAACTCTCGGCACTCCCAGGAGTAAAGCACTCCAGGAAGAAAATGGGAAGCTGCCTTCTGCCACTGCTCTCTTTCTCCTTTCTGCTCAATCCAACCTACCAAACAAGGGATTCAAATTTAAAATGGTTACAAAGCATGTGTTGTGAGGTCTCCTTATATTAACAGGAGGGTTAGGGAAATCACTTTTACTGACTTTGTAACATATCAGCTAATCTGAATAAATTGCAACTAGGCACAACATGAATAAGACCCTTTACTAACTGATCCAAACTTCTTCTTAAAGAAACGTATTGCTCACGTACCATCTACATGTAACTTGGCAATTCTCAAGGGAATCCAGGTTGTGATGTCACTCTGTGCTTGAGTTCCATGGTCATAGACTCTAAACCTATCGTACAGCTCCAATTTAGAAAAATGACTGTCCATCACCCATAACCCAAGAGAACAACTTGCTACTGGTTTATCTTATTTTGTTAGGCTAACCCGCTAACACACTCTCAACGAACAGCTTTAACTGATCATCAAAACTCTAGACTCAAAGGGAGCCCGAGGGAGGGGCTGCGCACAGATACGGAGGGGATGCAGAAACAAAAGCTCTCCTGGCCACGGTCCATCTCCTACACATCTGAGGACAAAGGAAATTAACATCTTTGGTCTCTCTGAGTTAGATCACTAGAGGTGAGTTATTCACTTCAGAGATTCTGGGATGGCTAACAGCCCTGGTATGACCCAGCCCTTCCATGGCCACCCTATTGAACTAGGGTCCCCATATCCTGGAAGAACTGAGCTATGGCTATCAGCAAATCAGAAGTCTTCTCCTCCTGGAGAAAACACGAGCCATGGGAGGTCAATTCCTAGGAAGGGGCTGGAAAGGCTTTTACAAAGCCTGATAAAGCCAATATAACTAAGTAAGCCAAAAGACAGTCACTCCTTAATAGGCAGTTTTGTTAAGTGCACCTTCAGGTCTACAAAGACATTTCAGCACATGACAGTGCAAGGGGTAAGAGCTTTGTTAAAGGTTGCATGCCTATGCTACACAGCTAATCCCTGTACTCCGTCCTGCCTGAACTCACTGCAGCGAGCTACAGGTGGATAAGCCATTTTCGTTTTCCCCATATCACCCCAAATCCTTAGCACTTCATCCCCCAGGCCCAGGCCTACAGGTTCACCACATGCAGCACTTTTTCCTGTAACACATGCAGAAGAATCCACCAGTCCAGGGGACAGCTAACAAGAAACATGCCGTGTAGCCATCAGCCGGTCTCATCAGTCTTGGTCCTGATTTCTCTATCCCATCCAGCCCACAGTACAAAGTGGATTATTGCTGTTGACAGAGGGCAGCAGTTTAAGTTCTGTGTGTCCTAGACCACAAAGTGGATAGAAAAGCTCACAAGATCCCTGGCGGGGGTGAGGGAGGGCCATAGACATGTTTGCCTAACTGGGAACAGTTAAGCAAGTAGGAGAGGAGTAGCCAGGAGGAGAACAGGTTCCAACGTCAAGGACACAGCACCCAGAAGGGTTTAATGCCCTGTAGCCAGAGGCTGTGCAGTTACCGGCCCCTTGTCTTCCCATGAGGTGTGTGGTATTCATCCTACAGAGTCACAGATGTCCCACAGAAAAGGCAAAGATCCAAGTTCTCTGTCAGTCAGCCAGCCTGGGTGTAACTCAAGTTGCTTGATCGGTTGCCTCACTGCTGTCCCCACCACGGCGTCCTCCAAAGGCTGCGAGTGCCTCTCCATGGGTGGACAGCTGCTGGACATCAGAGGCCTGTGGTAGGCTGGGCACAGGGTCCCCACCACTCTCTCTGGGCTGAGTGACCAGGATGGCAGAAGTCAGAGGTTCAGCCTGTCAAGTGACTGCCAGGTGGGAAGATCACAGGAGCATCCTGGGAAATCTCTGAAGGGGGTGGGCCAGGAGGGAGGGTGAGCTGAGTGTTCCCATCTCCACAAGGCTGCCTGAGAAGTTCAGACAGGGATTTGCAAAGTGCTGTCGCCAACAGAGAGATCAGAAGGAAATGTGCCAGGAACCCTGTGGCGGACCTGAGGAAGCTTTGCATGTCCAGAGTGGCCCTCCGTAGGAAATAACTGCCCAAAAAGTTTATCTTAGCTTCTGGTGCAGAAGAGGAATAGACAAGTTCATGGTTCAAGTCCAGTTTCAGAGATTGGGTCTCAGTTCACACCCAGAGCCAGCACCTTCCTGCACCTCTCCCTCTCCCTCTCCCTATCTCTCTCCCTCTCCCTTCCCCTCTCCTTCTTCTTCTCCCTCTCCTTTTCCCTCTCCAGCATCTAGGGTGGTATGGTCTCCTCACACTGGTGAAGTGAGAAAGCATGAATGGCAAATGAAAAAGCAAAGGATCTGTGCCCAACCCTCCCTCCCTTCCTTTACATAACTCCTCAGCCATGTCACGGAGGCACTTTCTGCATTTCACTGTGGGTACAGGATAAAGGCACTAAGCAACTATTAAATCAATTGGTTGAGTTTCTTCAGGGAGCCTCGAGGGGAGGGTCGAAGTCTCTACAGACTTCAAATCATGACTGCAAAAAAGAAGTCAGCTCTGCTTTGGATGCATACAAGAGATAAACATTTTCATTTACATCCTAAGAATGCACCAAAAAACATGCAATATTGCACCTTTTTTTGTTTGTTTGTTTTGCTTGTGTTTTATCTTCAGCTAGAAAGAATACTTGTTCTTAGGTGTTTTTCTATATACTTTGATGACTTATCTAGTTTTCCATGAATTTCCCTTTAAGGGATGAGCGTATTGGTCCTTTCTCTGCAGAAACCTGACATTTCCCTGAGCAAAGGCAGGAAAATTGACTGAGTGTCCCCCACCCCACCCCCACCCCCCGTTATTTCTTTTGGGCCTCTCATCCCGCAGACTTGTAATTTTTATTATGTAAAATTTTTTTATTACTGAAATCATGCATTAATTAATTCAAGGTACATCTTAGTCAAATAGGTCATAATGCTGAGTAAGAGAACATGCTTTGAGCTCCAAAATGTAATTGTTCCCATCTGACTAACATATGCACTTAAATACAGTACTGTATTTACTAATAAAGGAGTTGATAAATGAAGGAGTGCACTTTTGGTGAATGCAAATGAAAAAAAATCTATTTTTAGAAGAGTTGATTTCAACGTAAGCTTATCCCCTATTGTCTGGGTTGATGTTCTTGGCATGCGATTATAAAGTAAATGTTATCAGGTTCAAACATGCTTGCATTTAACTCCATTTGTGCTCTCTTGCAATAAGGAGGCTTGGGTTTTAACATCCAGTTCTGAAGGCCAGGGATCAGGGTGCAGGACTGGTGAGAAAAGACCTGCATTGGGCTCACCTGCAGTTGAGAAAACTTAGCAGCACCGCAGATGATTCAGTTAGCTTAATTCGCTCATCTTTCTCTTAGAGAATGATCCAGATTGGAAGGATGGAGCAGAGGGAAATCCCTCATGGGTCAGGACCAGTATCTGATCTGTAAGGTGCTGTGTGAACCAGTCCTAAGTTATGTTGGAGGTTTGTGTTTTGTTTTGTTTTGTTTTTCTTTTTTTTTTTTTCACCTAGTCATATGCAGTTCAGTTGATCCAAATAGAAGCATTTGTTCACTGTCCCGGGGGCTGGGGTATCGTGTTAACTGCAACACAGTTAATGCACAGTCTTATTGTGCACTTTGCAAAGGTTTTACATCGGAGTCCCATGCAAATGCTAGTTTTTTAAGTGATCGTTTGGCTTTTAGTTTAAGTTTTTTAAAAAAATGTTAAACAAGCCAAAGGGTTAAAAATGTTTCAGAATGGGGGTGGCATCTAAATCATATTTCACCTAGACTAGTTCATGGACTGCATTTTTTAAAGCCAGTTTTAGAAAATACCCTTTCTCTTCCCAACTTTATTTTTCAATAAAATGAAAATAGTCTCTTTTTTCAGGAATCTCAAAAAGTGTCTGGTAGGCCACCTCCAGAATCCACAATGCAACAATGCATTGACGGTGAAACAGAGCGTTCAGAGATTATCTAGGAAAGTATCTACAAAGTGTGCGCTCTGTTTTCTGCGTCTGGTAAGCGGGGGGGCGGCTTTGCGTGCACCTGCACCTTTCTCTAAACATCGGTCAGGAGCTTGCTCTTATTAACGCAGTTTTGGTTAGCGGTGGTGCAGTTCCCAGTTCTGAGGTTGGCCTGTCTATAATGGGCTATGCTGTTACTCATTTCCTCCTCGATCTCCATGTACTCAGACTTGCTCACAGTGGAGGAACTGCGGCGGCTGAGGTCACTGTCAGAGGCTAAATTCGGGGCGCTAACGTGGAGCAGCTGAGCTTGCTCCTCCCCCTCAGTTTCTCGGTGGTAGAAATAGTTGAAATTGGACACAATGACAGGTACGGGCAGGGCAATTGTCAGCACACCAGCGATGGCACACAAGGAGCCCACGATCTTGCCTCCAATTGTCACAGGGTACATGTCACCGTATCCCACGGTGGTCATGGACACCACCGCCCACCAGAAAGCATCGGGGATACTGGAGAAGTGCGACTCAGCTTCCTCCGCCTCGGCAAAGTACACTGCGCTAGAAAACAGGATGACGCCGATGAAGAGGAAGAAGATGAGCAGCCCTAGCTCTCTCATGCTAGCCTTGAGGGTCTGGCCCAGAATCTGCAGGCCCTTGGAGTGGCGGGAGAGTTTGAAGATCCTAAACACCCTGACCAGGCGGATGACCCGCAGGATGGCCAGCGAGGTGGCCTGCTCGCCTTTCTGGTTGCCCTCCTGCTCCGCTATCTCCGTGCCCAACGTGATGAAGTAGGGGATGATGGCCACGATGTCGATGAAGTTCATGATGTTCTTGAAGAAGTCTGTCTTGCTGGGGCAGGCGAAGAAGCGCACCACCAGCTCGAAGGAGAACCAGATGATACACAGCGTCTCCACGATGAAGAAGGGGTCCGTGAAGATGTTGGCGCTGTAGACCACGGTGGTGTTGTCGACGCGGCGGAAGGTGCCCGCCAGGTCCTTGTCGTCTTTCAGCTCGGGCAGGGTCTCCAGGCAGAAGATGACGATGGAGATGAGGATGACCATGACCGAGACAATGGCGATGACGCGCGCAGGGCCCGAGCTCTCGGGGTACTCGAAGAGCAGCCACACCTGGCGCTGGTACTCCTTCTCGGGCAGGGGGCGCTCCTCCTCCTTGATGAAGCCCTCGTCCTCCCGGAACTTCTCCATGGCCTCCTCACCCAGCTCGTAGAACTTAATTTCCTCGGAGAACATGTCCAGGGGCACGTTGACCGGCCGGCGCAGGCGGCCCCCGGACTGGTAGTAGTACAGGATGGCGTCGAAGCTTGGCCGGTTGCGGTCGAAGAAGTACTCGTTCCTCAGCGGGTCGAAGTAGCGCATGCGCTTCTTCGGGTTGCCCAGCAGCGTGTTGGGGAACTGCGCCAGGGTCTTGAGCTGCGTCTCGAAGCGCAGCCCTGAGATGTTGATCACCACGCGCTCACAGCACTCGTGCTCGTCGTGCTCGGCCGGCCGCGGGTAGCCGCCCTCCTGGGGGTGGCCCGGGGCGGCCGAGGCCTCGTCCACGTTCTCCCCTGACACCACCGTCATGATGGAAGCCGGCCGGGCTTAAGGGTGGGAGGCCTGGGGTGGGGGTGAGGGTGGCGAGGAGCCTGGGGCTGGGGAAGCGTGAGCGCGGAGGGGCTGGGGGGACCCAGGCGCAGCCACCGCGCCGCCGCAGCCACCACCACCGCCACCCGCGTGCGGGTCTCCCCAGCGCTCAGGGGGCTGGGCTTCCGAGCGAGCAGGTGAGCGGACCTGCGATTTGGCTCCCGGTTGCCTGGCCCTGCACCTTGTCTGTTTCTGGAATGGGAATCCCCCTCGTCGGCGCGGACCAGGATTTTGTGCCGACGGCCGAGTTTGGAGGATGTGCTTGTTTCGTTTTGTTTTGTTCTAAAAGTTGTTTATTTTTTTCTTTTTCTTTTATTTTGTATTCCTTCCTGCCCCGCGGTGCCTTAACGCAGAGCCGCTCCAGTGGATCGGGCCATGGCTTCGGGGCGCGCCCCGGCCTCCCCGCCCCGCCGCCAGCCCTCCCTGGACCGCGGGGCGCTGCCAGCTCAGCGGAGCCCCACGCCTGCCACCCCCTCCGCTGCTCCTCGGCTCGCCCCCCTCCTAGCCCTCTTCGCCTGCCGCCTTCTAAGCTCCCACCAAGGGCGATCGATGCACGCTGCAGAGAAATAGAAAGTGATACGGGGGGCAGAGAATCAGAAGCGTTCCGATGGGACGGACCGACAGACACCGAAGAGCACGGACGTGCAGCTTGTGGGGAACGCACTGGACTCGGACCAAGGACAGCACACACACGCAGACAGACACACACGCAGACACCCCGAAATCCAAGTTTGGGGCTCTTCCGTCCCACTTTCCCCGGTGCCCAACGGCCGAGCTGTTTACAACTCCGCTACACTGGAGATCGCTAAAGCGCCAAGAGACCCCAGGAGGGGGAGCTCCGGATCCCGAGCAGCGTCTCTGCAACCCTCCCCCCAACGTACACACACCCGCCGTCCCCACCCCGTCACCCCAACACCCGGGTCCCGCAGCCCCGGGCTGCGGAGCCCCCTACCTGGACTGCTGGCTTGGCGCAGGGCGGTGCGGAGTCTGCCGGGAGCCCGGGTCGGGGTGCGGCAGGTCGTCTTAGCTGCAGCCGGACGCGAGTCTCCGCGCCGCCGCCGCAGCAGCCGAGAGGCACCCGGCACCCCAGCCGTCCTGGTCCGTCCGCTCGTCCTGTGCGGCTCTCAGTCGGACTATCGCTTCAGCGAGCAGCTGCGGCGGAGACCTCGGCTCCCTGCCCCCATGCTCCCCGGGCGCCGGCAACCTGGAGACGCCGTTCTCTCGCCAGTGCAGGGAGCTCCGGAGGATGCGGGGCGGAAATGCCAAATGCCACCCTCTCCCGAAGCTGGGAGGCAAAAGACGATCGCCAACACTCTCGCCGCCTCCCAACCCCGTGGGAGCCCTTGACTCGGTCCCGAGGAGGCGGGCGGGCTGCGGCTGGGGTCTACATGGCTCTGCGCACTCCCAGCGTGGAGCTGGCCCGAGGCTGCGCCGCGCGCCGGGAGCCTTCAGCAGCGCGGAGTGGGGCAGGGCGCGTGCGGCAGCGGGTCCGCTCGGTCCATTTCTGGGCGCTGCAAGATCAGCAGAAACATGAGAAAGCGCCTGGGATGCGGAGCAGCGATTGGCCCACCCGGGCGTGGGTTGGGAGGGCGGGGGAGGGCAGCCTCGAGGAGGTAGATGGAAAATAGCAGGGGGTGGTTTGGCAGGCGGGGGTTGGCGTTCGGTTCCCACCCTTGCCAGCACGGCTTTTTCCTCTCGTGCCAGAAACGCCGACCACCAACCCAACTTCCCTCGTAGCCCACAGCCCAGCCCACGCCCGGGCCCTGACCGCGCGCGACCTTCCCCGCGAATTTCACATTGGGAAGAGTCAGGTCCGACGCAATGCAGGCTGTGATGTTCCTGGCAGAACTCCGCGCACAGGGTTGCGTTTGTGCAGTCCCGCAAGGATCCCCTTGGAACACAGTGCTCTGCGCGCCAACCCGCCCCTACTCCGGCAGGGAGAAGGGGGGGGGGGGCGCCCTGCGGAGCGCAGCCAGCGGCAGACACGCAGGCTTTGGGTGCAGCCCTGCGGCCGAGGGTCGCTAGGCTGGGGTCTATGTGGCGGTGCTGAGAGCCTGTCCCTCCCTTTGACTTACCGCGGGAGTTGAAGTTTCCTCGCGAGCAGATTGCTCTGAAATGCGGGGAGTGTGACTTGTGGGGGACGGAAGGTTTCGTGGGTTTGTGGGGTTGTCTGCCAACTTGGTGCTAATTGGGACGCATCTGAGAAGCAAGTCGCCTACTCGCCTCCCACTCTCTGCCCCTCCTCCCGCAGCATCCTTCCCCGGCCCCGTGCCTCCGCCGGGCCACTTATACGGCTTGTCACTTATACGGACAAGGTCCCCCAGCAAGACGCGTGGCTGCTCGAGCCGGGGGATTGGAAGGGGGCGTGCGCGGCGCCCCCACGAGTGCTGCTTGGGCTGCGGCCCCCCGCCGGGGGGGAGTGGGGGGGGGGGCTCTGCGCGCTGGCGCCTGCAGCTCGCGAGCAGGCGGCCGGCAGCTCCCGCACTTGAGCTGCGGTGGAGTCTCGGAGGAGGCTGCAAGAGCCCGGAGTCGCCGCTGATTGGCTCCGCAGCGACCTTGGGCCCGCCCCTTCGCGCCACCGCGGCTTGCGTTGCCTCCCGCCTACACCACCCACCTCTTTAATCAAAGCCAATGATTGCACCCTCCCGGCTCTATTGTGGCTAGTGAAAGGCGGGGGCCTCTGCGGGGCTGCCCAGGCGCAGCAGCAAGCCTGGGTATGGAGCTGGTTAAGTCCCTCCTCCAGACTCAGTCCCTGGCGTTCCTTTCCGACAAATCAAAGTGTTCCCTCTCCTCCTCCGGATCCAAACCCCGGCCTCTCTCCTGTGAACAGACGGTCCTCTAACACTCCTCCTTCCCAGGGTAAGCTCTGTCCTTTCCCCCTCTCCACTCGCCTGTCCTGCAGTCCCAGCAACTCCCTTCTGGCACTGCTGCTTTGCTGTAACAGCTCGCTCTGGCTCCCTCCCGTTCACGACTGTGAAATTGTGCTGCACTACTGGCGACTCCCTTGGATTTCGTTGCTGCCGCCGCCGCCGCCGCTATCAAAGTCCTGTCGGAGATAACCCTGCGAGACTGAATCAACGTCTTCCGAGCACGTCCTAGCAATGCTGGGCTCCCCTAGTTTCCCTGCTCCTGAGCCTCTCTTTTCCTATGACCTCTGTACTTCCTTTAGATACTCCTAAGAGTGTCATCGTCCTGGCTTCATGTGCTTGCACCTGCTCAGATTCAGCATTTGCCTTGCTAAAAGATTCACAGGCTCCATGGGATTCTAAGTTCTGGAACTCAGAGTTTCTTTAGGAGGTGTAAGAGGTGTCATCAAGTCCCTAAAACAGGTGTTTGGAACAGGACTGGGTTGGGAGGGGTCTGAAGATACTTATCCATTCAACAACTATGTACTCAACCATTCTAGCACCAGATACAACATCGCAGCCCTAGTGCAGCTCACATTCCAGTGGGAATTGGAGACAGTAGCAAATAAGCCATGTGCTATGATGTTAGGTGAAGAAAAAAGGGGGGTTGGGGTATAACAAATGCAGATTTGCCAACAGGGGGGCCTGTCTGCAGAGGTCACATTTGATTCCAGCACTTCAAGAGGAGATAGCCTCTTCCGGTAGACCAGAAGTCTGCTAGCTGTGAGAGCAAATGTCCAGGACCTACAGCAAGGACACGCTTAGCAGCATCCTCAGAGACAAAAGAGGGCCAGTGTAGTGACCAAGGAGGGATGTCCCCAGAGGAGGGTCAGAAAGGCAGGCAGGAGCCAGATCATGCGGGGGCCTCTTGAGCCACAGGGAGACGATTTGTTTAATTCTGAGTGTGATGGGGAGATACTGGAAGACTTGCACCAATATTTAGGTAACATCACTTGCACATTGCAGAGATGCCTCTGGATGCTAGAAACAAACCATGGATTTGGAGGTCATTGAGTAGCACAGGTAAGAAAGATGCTTTGACTAGGGAGATACTGGTAAGCTTGTGAAGAGTGGTGGAATAGAATTGCATTCCATTGAAGAGATGGCAGGGTTCGGGATATGAAAAAAAAAAAAAAAAAGAAGTTTCAAGGACAGGTCCTAGGCTTGTGACCTTAGACACTAGATGGATGGTGGCTTTATTTGCTGGAGGAATACAGCTTCTCTCCTGCCAGAATGAATTCTGGAACCTTGGGTGTCTCAGTCATGCCTGTTGTTGGGCACTGTAGGCCTCTCCCCAGGTTCTTTCCACTCTTCTTGCCCTGTGGTCACTTGCCCTGCATTGCCCTACCACTTATGCTGCTGGAAAAACCAACTCTGTGTGGGCAGCAGAGTTCTGCCTCCTGAGATTGACCGCACCACAATGAGTGGAAACTGGATTCCTTAAGCTGCAATGCTATAAGGAGGTGCTTGTTGGCTCAATAGACTGAGAGGCACGCATGCAGTGGGAGACAGAAGCTAGAATAGCACTCATAGATTAATCTCTACTATCTGTGTTCTTCTCATGGTCAAGCAATCACGTGGTCTGGTGATGGGGCTGTGTCTGTGTGTGGCTCATGGAGAAGTGGCCAGTTGTATAGCATATCTCCTTGTATCTGCACCCAGGCCTTTGCTGTATGCCTCCCCTTTCCTCTTACTGTCACTGCCCTAGGTTTCCACCCTGCATGAAAGCACTAGCACATGAGTCCTGCCTCAGGTAGAACCCGAGCTGGAGCAGAGGCGATCGAAGCTTCAACATGTGAAGTTTGAGATACCTATTATGCATCCAAATAACTATGTGCATAGGAAGTTGGACATATATACCTAGGGCTCAGAACTGAAGTCTGGGTACATCAAGGTTTCTCCACCTCAACCCTGTTGACAATTGAGCTGGATGCTTTTTGTTGTAGTGGGCTGTCCTGGATATTGTAGGGTATTCACCAGCATCCCTGGTGAGGCCAGTAGCACCTGCCCCTTACTTTTCCCATTATGACAACCAAAAATGTCTCCAGACATTATTAGAGTCACCCTCAGCTGAGAAGCACTGGTATAGATGGTGGTTAAAGCCAGGGTACTGGATTAGAGCTCTTAAACATGATGGTAGAAAAGAGGAAACAGTCAGAGATTGTTTCAAGACAGTCTAATGTTTAGAGGCTAGTAAAAGAAGAAAGGGCCAGCGAAAGGAACAGGGGAAGAAAGATTGGTGATCCAAGCAAACCAAGAGAGTGTAGGTCTATGATACCTCTGGAAACAGTGTTTCAGAAAGGAAGAAAAGCACAGCTTTGCTGAATGGTGCTCATTGGCTGCATAGAAGGAGGAATTCAGGACCAACCATCAGATTTGCAACAACTGAGCTGAGAAGAGATTGGGGGAGAACTGATGGTGCTGGCTAACAAAACTCTTGGAATTTCAGGGTCAAGTGGAATTGAAGAATGGAGTAGTAGCTTCAGGAAGATGAAGGGTGATGGGATTTCTTTCTTTGAAAAGATGAAAGCTATTACAATATCTTTGTATGCTAATGGGGATGATTCAGTAGAAAGGGAAAATTGTTGATGCAGGAGAAAGAAAAATTAGAGCAGTGTTCTTGAGAAGGCAAAAGAAAAATGTATTGGCCTTGAAAAAGGACAGTTAATCTCTAAAAAGAGGGAGAGAGGAGAAGGAGAGGAAGAAAAGAGAGGGGAAGAGAGCTCAGACGCTAGTTGAGTAGAAGTGGTTGTGGGGAATTTGTGTGGACATTCACTAATGCAATAAGAAGAAATTTTCTCAATAAAAATGGAAGCAAAGTCATCAACTGAAAGATGGAATGGGGAAGAAAGGCATGAACATTGCAGTGGAAACCTGGAAAGTAGAATAGGAAAGTGAGTGGATGAGAGAGTAGAGCAGAGTTGCCTGGTAGCACCAAGGACTCACCAGTGGTAAGGATCACGCATTTGAGCAGTCAGGCCCTGGTTGTTTGAGATACGCTTGGAAGTGAGTCATAATGGAATTAGCCCTGATGATCTTTTATGGAAATATGTGTAACTAGTTCTAAATATAGCATTTTTCTTGGGATCGGTCTCTTAAGTGTTATGTAGTTGAAAGGCAAGAGATGCATGGGATACATGCAGGCAGGGATGTGGACTCACCTCTGAGCCTGCTCATAGCTGTATCACAAAAGG